CGCATTCCCAGCTCCCCTGCCATTTTCGCTAACATTTCTAAAGATAAGCATTTGCGCTAGGCCCACTAACAAACATACATACAATGTAAACAACTTTCATATGATGATTTTGAACGACCCTCGATGTGACACCCGTAGTTAATCATTTTATGTTGATCAAGAATGGGGTTGTCGGACCCATCATTGATGCCGTTCCTAGGGCCTTCGCCCCTGCCATCTTTGCGATCTTTCTGCTGGAGATGCGGACCAAGGTACCAGGCGCCAAAACTTTCCCTCAGTTCATTAGGCATTGATTCGGAGGAGTAGCTCATGTGCTCGTCGTACTCCTCTTTAGCACCAACTCCACCTGCAATATCGTAAAAATTCTAGCCTGTAAGTCCTACGACCTGCATCACATTTTCTACCAAGGCCTTAGCTTATCCAATTAATTTCACACTTTGAAAGCACAATATTATCTTCTGAAAAATCGAATTCCAAAGAAATCATTACTAAACTCCATTCTGCATTAAAAATGGTACCGACATTTTTGACTCCAGCTGAATAGACCGGTGTCCTGCGTTAAGAGTCAGGGTTTGCAAGTTTGGCAAATGACATGACAACCCTTTCTTTCTGGATGTATTTTTGCGTAACTGAGGATTTTATGATAAGGCTAAAATGCCTCGTTACCATAATGCAGTTTCTGCGGAATGCTTACGCACGTGTAATGACCAACTGGTCGTCTGTTTTACGTGAACACGAGGGTTTATTTTTGTTATCTTGTACGTCCAACACCTCCTCCGATCGTGTTGATAGTGTACTGACCTCTGAGCAGAAAAAATAGTGCGTCAACTTAGACAAGTCAACAACACGAATTTTTCCCGAACCAGAAGACAGGGAAGAACGTTAATATTGGAGAAAATTTACTGCGTTAAAGAAGCTTACAAAAAGCCCTGCAGACAGTTGCTGCTATATGTCTAATCTGGCCATTTATGTGTCCGTGGTTCCTCATTCCCCTGCAGCCAATTAGTCAAAAGGCCTACGTTAACTGGATTCAAGCTTTCACCAAGACTTGCGCGCCCAAGTGATGCGAGGCGGACCGGAAATGATGACTCAACATTTCCGCTTGGCGGGGAAGGCAGCATAAGTCAGCAGCGGAGGTGCTGATCGCGGACTGCTACAAGCAAAGTAGATGCTGTGCATTTCTGCCTTTACTTAACTCTATCCTGCATTAAGAAGTGGAATGGACACTGCAGACTTCAGATGGATAGGCTGGCGTCACGCGTTAAGA